GGGGGGGGGGGGCGCACCCTGGCCGTGAGAGAAGATGTCATTCTCAAGGGCATTCTTCAGCTCCAGGCGCGGGACAACAGTGGCCCTGTTGATCAACCGGCCGACAGGGTGGCAGGAGGGAGGAAGACACGCTTGTCAGTGGGCCGGAGAGGGAGGCAGAGGGGCAAGGAGGAGCACGGCCCCGGAGAGGGGGCAGGCCTTGGCCAGGACAGGCACGCACTTGCGGGTGTTCGGGTCCAGGGCAACCATGGTGAAGTCCGCCATGACCAAAGGCTCCCAGTTGGCGTTCGGGTCGGTGTTGGGCGTGGGTTTGGAGCCGGCCGCCGGGGCCGGAGCGCTGGGGTCCGCCACCAGGGACTCCACCATGATGCGCACGTCCAGGGAAGAGCGCCCGACCCAAGAAACGTGCCCTGAGCATGGCGAGGCAGGGGGGGAACATGGCGGAAGCATGGTGAGGATGACATTGGCCAGGCAAAGGGCCGACATACCGAGCGAAGAGGGGAGAGGGCGGAGCGGAGGGCGACCAGAGAGAGGGGGGGGGGCACTACGAACCCGTCATGCGCATGTCGCGCTCGGCGCGGATCTGATTCAGGAGCATGATCTGGTTGACGGCGGCAGTGACGATCGTGGCGCTGAGGTTGGTCTCGGAAGGAGCGGCCTCCGAGTCGGCCGATGCCGGCGTCGAGGTCAGGAGGTGGCGCTGGCAGTGGGTGTATGCCACGGACCCGGCAAAGCCATCCAGGTCCTCGAGGATCTTGCCGATGCTGGGCCGTGACCGGTGCCAGGCGCGGGGACGTCAGCAGCGAGCCGGTGACCGGGTGGAGTGGGGGGGGGGACAGGGATATGGCAGGCAAGGGGAGGAGGCCGGCTCGTCGGGTTGGGGGCAGCGGGGCGCCCCTTCGCGCGCGCGCCCCCCTCACAAAGCCCCCAAAGTGACCTTACTCGTGCCAATGCAGGCGATCGGGCACCGGGATGGTCCAGGTGGAAATCTTCCCCTGGTAGTGCTTGAAGACGGCGGCTGAGTTGGACCGGCGGCGCTGAGCCATCACATAGGCCATGAACTCCTCGTAGGTCTGGGGCACAACCGTGCGCAGGGGCTTGTTCGGCACCTGGAAGGTATAGTGGAAGACATTGGTGGTGTCCCGATCGCCGGTGGCCGGATCAATGACATCGGCCATGACCTCCACCTGGAACTGGCTGGCATTCGGGTTGTCGCCGGTGCTGCCCTCGGCCAGCTCGATGCGGCTCTTGAAGCTCAGCAGCGAGCCGATCTCCACCGGCTTCTTGAACTGGATCTCATCCTGGCCGAGGAAGATCGGCATCGCGCCGCCGGTGTAGGTGAGCGCCGTGCAGAAGGCCAGCTCGAAGGCATGGCGCATGAGGTAGCCACCGAAGAGCTTGCCATGGACATTGCGCTCCTGCCGGTGGCAGAAGATCGTCGTGTCCAGGCAGGTCTTCGAGGTGGGGATCACCTCGTCGGTGAGCTGCACGCCACTACATGGTACGGCCCGGGCGCAGGGGGGGATGTGCCGGACGCGCGGAGACGGGCAGGAGGTCAGCATGCGTGGCACAGCCAAGGCGGCCGGCATGATGGAAGGGACAGCGAGCGGGCACGTACTCCTCCATGAGCTTCTTGTACTTCTGACTCCGGAGGTAAAGCTTGTGGATCATGTCGGTCTCCATGGGGGTGGGCGAGCTCTCCGAGAGGGAGAGCGCCTTCTCGACCTTGCGCTGCTTGCTGCGCTCTGCAGCAGGACACCAAGGGGGAGGGGG